CTGTGCAGCAGCTTTTGCAGGGTGAAGACGGTATGGTGTGCAATGATAAAAACAAAGATTATTTAAAGAATGGGGGACAGAAGGAATCTCTCTGCGAGCAGAGGAGGAACATCTCTGCCTTTCCCAGTGGCTTTTCTTTCCTCCAGATGACACTGTCTCACTGTGTCATCAAGTGGATATTTGTCCACATCGGCACAGGCCATTTCACCTATGTAGCGGTATGCATGAAGCTATCTCTCACAAGGGAGGAGAAGGAGAAACGTCCCGTGCGATAAAAGATAAAAGATCCTTGTCTATTTCTTGGAACACCATGTTCAAGGCTCTGTGGCGTGAGCCTCCCCATGAGCTAAGGCATGAGAAGACTGTTCTCTGCATCCTTGACCTTCCGAGGAATGCAGGCAAGAAACTTCCAAGGTCTTTGCGGTGTGAGCCTTCCCATGAGCCAATGCATAGAGGACTGCTCCCAGCATCCTCAGCCTTCAAAGGAAGGCAGGCACGATGCTGCTGCCTCGGTCCTCAAGAGATAGCCACGATGTTGCCCAGGTGGTCCCTGGCAGCAGACATCAAGACAGCACAGAAAATCTGGCATTAATTTTAGGGCTTATACCACAATTCACCTCTTGATGCTTTGATGTAAAGTAAGACCCCGGGAGGGACAGATACTACCAGAGAGAAGGAATAGAAGAACAATCTCTGTGGGAAGAGCAGTAGGTACATGACACGCAGCAGAGGACCACAATGGCTATAAATAGAGTTTCGAAGCCTGTGCAGAGCTGTAGGCTCCATTTGGTTGGGAACAGGCAAGAGAAAAGTTCTGTCATTTCTAGCACGATTGGCATGCTATTTAGTATCTGAACAACATTATGAAATACTTTAATATCAGTTTGTATCTAATTGAGGTGCTGCTGCACTTGGCCAGGATTGTTGATTCATATACAAGCAATTCCATGAAACTAACATATTTCTCCTTGTGTAGTTACTAGATAGTCAAAGTAAAGAAACAGTTCATCTGGACTAGGGACCCTTGGCTCTCAGTGAACAGCTGAGGAGGCTTGATGCATGCATGAGGACAGAGGCATGGCCATTTGCTGGTTGGCAGTGAATGAGTTTTGATGGCTGGGCTAAGGCAGTGATGTTTAATGCTATATTACTGGTGCCAAATATGGTGGTGGTACCTATGGAAAAGGAGTTCAAGAACCCAGCTCTGACTGTGGGGCAGGATTTAGAAGAGTCTGTGGGAACTATG